TCAAGGGTCGAAGGTATGTTGCGAAATGAGGGCATTTTGGGAGGTTTCCGAGTCTCTAATTTTGTGCAATCCGCTATAGCAGACATAACAATGCTATAGCAAGATATATGTGCAGGCATTATAGAGGTTGTACATGCACTATAGAGGGCGAAACTATTATGGCGATGTCGTAATAGTGGATCAGGGCGCTATAGCGGGGTAAGTGTAACACCTCGCAACTCCACTCTTAGAATCTGAATAGTTTGTTGCAAGTATATGAGCTTGAACCAGGTGATGTCCTACTTGCTCATATGTTTTAAGGTCCTTTATCAAGTGTAAAATGGGTATTAGAAGTTATTTAGGGCCATAAGAGACCTCTTACACCAAGTCAAGTTCAAAGCATTTCTATGAGCTTAGTTGTTGAATTAGTCCATATAAGGGTCAAATTCAAATAACCATATCTCATATAATATGAAGAGTTAGGTGGCCCATAACCAATCAAATTAAAAATCCATGAGTCTTTTTTCCAGCGCTGCCAAGTTTTAGTCCATCTAAGTTCGGGATAAAAAGTTATGAGTGATTAACTAGAGATACTTTAACCTGGTAGAAGCTCTATGATGGCTCCGCGACACGGAGTGAATACGGACCTCATTGTCTACTAAAATAAAATTTCAACTTCCAACTCTTATCATTTATTTTCTTGAGGGTATTTTTATCATAAAAACCTTTGGAAAGTTATTTAAATGGCCTAAAATGTGTATTTATCAGTTTTTCATAATTAAATCCTTTCATTCACTGCTAAAATTCTGCGCTCAATAACTTCAAGAAACACCAAGGCTAGGGTTCATCTTTCAAGATTCTCTATCAATCTTCCTTACTAAGGTATTTGTCACAACCTGAGTCTACACCCTAACCGAGACACGGTACTTAGAACCATGTTTCCCCCAAGTTAACCCTTCGTATAACATATCAAAGCATATCATATGAAAACTGAAGCAGAAGCTATAAACTAAAAACATAACTAAATTAAATTTTAAAGATAAGTCTATTATAACCGAATACTAATGTTTGGGAGCCTCTAAACTGAATAAAATGATTTACTAGGACAAGACCCTGAACTGCCTGAAAGCTAACACAACTGAAGTGAATAAAATCTAGCATCTCATAACTAAAGTCCTTACAATGCGAGGAGGACTCACCACAAAAACTGAAAGTAGAGGAACTTAGTGGAACGTTTGCCTGAGAATCTGAATCTGAGTGCTGAAATCTACATCATAAAATAATGTAGCGCAAATTAGTGTCAATACCTGAAATGTATTGGTATGCAAGGTAAGGACTGGGATAAACAATTATACAAGAAAAAAGCACTATAAATCTGAGCATGAGTTATACACAAACAATAACTGAAGATTTGGGAGTCAAAACTGTGACATATGACATAATATTACAGAAACAAAAATGTTTATCTGAGACCATATTTTCTAAAATCATATTTGAAAGGATGCATATCTGAAGATCATGCAATCTGAAAACCTTATACTAATATTATCAAGAAAATATATATAAAAAAGTAGTAAATCTTTTAGGTGGGAGTTTCTCATAACCAACATATATCGTGTGAGCTCATGATGCACCAACATACCATCCTAGTTGGGAGGGCTTCCATATACCTTGCCAGGGTATAGAACCTACATGTCTAATGTGGATCCAGTAATCTGAGTCTCTCAGGGCTAAATGATGAACTGTCAAAGCAGTGAAACATAATTCTACTGTGGCACATATTTTTGAAACTCTGGCTATCTAGAACCCTCATTCACTCGATGCTGAATACTACTCTCAAAACATACTATTCATATAGTCATAACATATCTATTAGGCTTATCTAGAAGCTTATAATGAGTCTTGCTCAAAAATCTTTTTCTAAAACAAGTCTTGTTGTGAGTATGCTCAAATCTATTAGACAAAGCTCAAATCCTTCTTTCGAAAATCATATGATGAAATCTATTTCTAAAACATATCTTTCAACTCATGAGAGAGTTTTCTAGAACATGCATAACTTGTAGATTCTCAAAATAGCTTTCATAATAACATAAACTCTCTAAAATCATGCTTTGAAGATAAGATTAAGAAATCATAAATAAAATTCATGTCAAGAACTAATAAGGATGACCATGGAGAACCTTGCTAAACATAAAAAGGCAGTACAATAGTCAAATTCATAATTATGAGTAAGTAAATTCAAGAAATCATGAAATTGGATCATAAAAATGGTGAATTTGAAAGTAGGCTTATAAACCCTAACCATAGAATTGAATTCATGAAAACTGAGGAATTTTAGACATGATGATGAAAAGAATTCCTCATTAGAGTCCTACATACCTTGAGTCACTCCAATTGAAACTCTAACTTTGAAGCAGAACGTCAAAACTCCCTTCTTAAACTTTAGGATGAGTTTTGGTTTTGCTAGATATGGGAGAAAGATTTGATGTTAGAATCTCATGAAGAATTCGTGATTAGAGAATGAGATTGCTTAGAAATACTTTAGATACATGAGAGGAACATGCCTTGATGTTGGAGATGGAGAAGAGGAGAGAATTTGAGGGAAAATATTCCCTAAGTTGTCCAAGATGAATTTCTAGTGAACCCCTAACTTAAATTACTAAATAGAGCAGCACAAAAATCGTTGACACTGGAAAATTGGCTTGGCACGGCGCACCCACTCTATTGGCCGCACGGAGCCCATGGACAATTTGGTAATACGGTGGCTACTAGAAAATTGGCCTGGCGCGGTGCACCCACGCTACCAGGCGCACAGAGCGAACGACCAATTTGACGCCCCTCCAGTAAAATACGAATAACTTTTTACTCAAGAGTCGGATTGACAAGTGGTATGTGGCGTTGGAAAGAATATTTGTAGGCTTTTAATATGATAGTTGATGGGTTACCTAACTCATACTATTTCAAGAGAGATAGTCGTTTAAAGTTGACCCTTGTATTAACTCATGTGAAACCTTAGCCGATAGAAAAGCTTCGACCTTGACTTGGTGTTTGATAGTAAAAGACCTTAAAATATATGTAAAACATATAAATCATCAGGTTCGGTCCTATACAAATACTGAGTATAGTTCGATTCCTTTTTTAGAAGTTTCGGGACGTTACAATATGTAAGGCTTCAATGAGAGTATCCCTTCACTCTCATGCCTAAATTATTTTTATTCTCAAGAATTTCACAAGATTGTTAGAAGTAAAGCTAGGGTTTTTATGAAATTATGATCTTTCTTCAATAAGCTACGTTTTCATTGTTTCACTTTGGTTTTAAAACCTTATAGTATCGATTCAGCATAATTTCTATGGTTCCTTAAATATTTATGACTTTTAAACATGAAAGCAAACATGATTTGATTTACAACCTAACTACATGTTGTTTTAAGGTATGACTTTTGATCATAGCCTCACATGTAATATGAATGATAAAAGGTTTATATACCTATGAGCATTATATGTATACTGTATACATGTTGTTTTGGGAGAACTATTTAGTATCAAGAGGACGCGGGTTTAGAAAACCCAAGTTCCATAACTACACGCCAACATATTATTATGTTTCACTGCTTTGACGGTTGACATGTTCATGTTAGTGGATCCACATAAGATACAATAAGCTTCTATACTCCCGGAAAGTATAGGACAATCCATCCAACTGAGATTATAAGTTGGGCATTATGAACTCAAATGATGTATGTCGGTTATAAGAAACTTTTAGTTTATGTATCTTTTATGATATCCCCTTAACTCTATTTGAGGTATATTAAGTATGCTATTTTATGTTATGATTATGAAGGACTATTGATTTAGACTCAAAGATGTATATGCTTTTGAAAGAAGGTCTTAAAACTGATATTTATGCATGAATTTCAAATGTTTCATTTTAGCCCCTTTATTGTGATTATGACTTTACATTTTTGAAACTTTATTCCATCGTTTCATCCATATGTTACTTTATATGAGTATGTTGATGCTTCAGCATACTCAGTACATTCCACATATAGAAACACATCTTTCTCTGCATTGCATCCTTTAATGATGTAGATTTCAGCGTTCGTTCAATGACTTGTGGCTAGTAAGGTTGCAGTATTTTCAGTTAACACCTCTCCTCATTTGGGGACTCCATTAATTTAGGTCACTAGAATTTTTTTCATGTTGTCTTTGGTTAGGTAGCTGGGGGCCATGTCCCTGCAGACTTATATTTTTGATTTAACTAGTAGAGACTTATTTCAGATAGTAGAAATCACTACAACAAATTAGATTATGAGGGACAAATAATTTCGTCATCTATAAATCATGTTTCGTCACTAAAAAAATTGTGTGACGACAAAAATTTCGTCAATCAGTCGTCACTAAACGTGTGTCACTCAAAGTATACAAAGACGATTTAGTGCTTCGTCGCTAAAACTAATATATTAACTACAAAAAGAAAAATCGTCTCCAAATGCATAAACATTTGTGACGAATTTATTATTTGTCATAAAAAGTGTAACTTTTTTTGTGGTTAATAGTATGTTTTGTCACTAAAAAGGTTATTACTACCGACAAAACTATATCGTCGCTAATTATTTAGTTCAATCAGGGACAACATCAATTGTCTCTAAAGTTATATTTATTTCGTAGTTGAAAAAATATAATATCGTCACTAAAGACTATTTTTATATACAAAAAAATATTTGGTCCTTAAATGTATAAATTAGGGACAAATTTATTATTATAAAAAAGGTTAATAATTTTGTGATTAAATTTATCATTTTGTCACTAAAAGTGTTGCTTTTACCGACGACATATATTGTCACTAAATATTATCGTAAGTAGTGACAATTACAATTGTCACAAAATAAAAAAAATTAATCATATTCAACAATAAAGGGTACTACGACAATACATTTTTTTTCATTGAAAGTAATCAAGTTGTGATGAATTAATTTATTTAATGACAAAAATATTTGTATCAAAATTCACCCATGATCATATAATAAAAATAACTTAAATTATACTAAAGAATAATATCTCATTACAAACTCCTTAAATAAAAGTAAACTATGTCCAATGACAAAAAAATCTAACTAAAATATATCAAAAATTATTCCTAAACAAAGACATATAAGTAAAAATTCCTTCCAAAGTATCAATAATGTGGTGACACATAGCTTGCAATCAATCTTGCTTCAATTCTCACCTTTTATACCTGTAAAAAGAAAGAGAAAATAAAACAAAGATTTAAATTGAGATATTCATATTGGAGTCAAAAGTAAAATATGTAACACAATTTGTCTTTCATATGTTGTAATGCCCAATTTTATAAGTAATTTTTAATTTACAATATAAATTTTATCATTACAAATTTAACATAAGTGAAAGTTTATGAAGTATATCATCACAAACTATTCTATATGGCAACATAAACTTCATCATTCATGAAACTGTTAACTATTAAAACATAATGTAAAAACTGCAATTCAGTAAAATTATAAGTGCAAAATGAACAAAAGAACATAAAAACTCCACATAAAATCATAAAAATAGTACCAAGTTCATATCTTTAACAATTGATCTCCTAAATAAAGAAAAAATAAAAAAGAAGACTAAGTTGTGATTAGGCCTTATATGGTATAGTCTCCGGTCAATTACTGAACCACAGAGTGTGAAAAATGATAATAAAACAAAGCCAATAAAAGTAAGATCTACATATTCATTAAAGATCAACCAGTGATTATGTGAATATAGGGTTAAAGAATATGAAATACAAAGAAAAGACCTTTCTTGTTGATTTCTTTTCAATTTTTGTTATCATTTTTCTCTATATATTTGTTTTAAAGTTGAACGTGGGAGATGAGAAAGGAAAGGAAGATGAAGAAGATAAAGAAGAAGAAAAGGAAGATATTTTTCTCTTTTTTGTAGAAGTGTGATTGAACCACCTGAAAAGAAAGTTTTTTTTTATGTTTCCTATTTTGATTCTTTTAATTTTTTCCTTTTAAAATTAATTAATTGTCTTGGAAGATAAAAAAAAAAGAACCATCAAAATCGATGACTGAAAACCAGTAATGCAAATTGTCATGGGGTCCACCTTATAAGATACTAGAAAAATCAAATATAAAAACAATTACACTTCCACTATTTATTTATAATTGATACTCTATTGTTAAAGTAAAATTAAGCAAGTGTAAAACCTATAATGTAGCAATACTTTTCATTTCAAATTGATAGTCTTACTTCAAAAAAATATTTCTCACTTTTTAGCAACCATTTAACTTTTTAAAGTCACAAAAATTAAAGATTTATCTATATATCTTATCGAAATGAGAATAAGATATACGTAATTTATGAAGCTTTAAATATGAAATAAGCGGGTCTTTTTTGGTGTTTTTCATATAAAGAAAAAATATTTTCAAAAATTTTAAGTTAGGGAAAACTTTCTAACTCTTAGGCATATTTTGTGAAAATACAGAATCATTGAAGAATATGTGTAACTTTCTTTTAAAACTGAAATTGTTATGAGATTTTGAATTATAATAGATTTTTCTATTTAGTTATTTCTTGATTATTTAAAATTTAATTTTATTCTATTAAATATCAAAAATAAGATAGTAGAGATATTGGTTTGGGTGAGGTGGGGGAGGGTTTGGGCAAGGGCGTGTGTGGTTCCCCCGCCCCCCCCTTCCCCTTTTTTTTCTTCTCTTCTTTGTTATTCTTTTATTTTTAACAAAATTAATATAATGAAAAAATTATGTTTTGATTCAATAAGAACACAAATAAAAATAAATTAAAATAATATTTCTTCCCATACAAATTTTACACATGTTACATTAGTATAAATATGTTAGGAATTATGGACACCTAAATTTTTTTATTTTTCTTTATTTTAGTTATTAAAATGGAAAGAAAAACCTACTAATTAAAATTAATATCTTACATAATAAATATTTGTTATTAATTATTCTCATCATTTCAGTTTGTTAAGCCATAAATGCATGTATCATCGTAAGCGAATCAAAATATAAAAGCAAGAATAAACGTAGACAATAATTTTACTTAAACATGAAATAAATCATGGGTTGTTTAAACCTGAAATAAAATAAGGTTTGCTATAACAATTTCGCACTAAGTCTAATGATATAAAATATCTAAACATAAAGTTGATATGAAAGATTTGAACATTCTTCATATTATAACATCAACGAATATTAATGGTTTAAAAATATATAAAATTTAACAATTTCAATAAATTGTAACCAATGCTTGTATAATCATGACATTAAACTATATAAAAAGGATTAAGTATTACCTCTTGTGAAAATTAATTCACAAAGAAAAAACCACAACTGGAACCACAAATTAAAAACCACGAATAAAAACCCCGAACTTAACTTTTCTTTTGTCGCTGAACGATTTTTATTTTTTTTGTTAGTATTGCTGGAAGGAAATAGTGTTTGGTGTGTGTTTTGGAATTTGGGTGCGTGAGTTTCTGTATGTTATTCTGATTGTTTTCTCATTTTTTTTATTTTTTTTTTGTAATCTTTCTATAATTGTGTTTTATGCATGTGTCGTGTGTGTAGTGTGAGGGGGTAATGGGAGAAGTGTGGTGAGATGTAGGGGTGAGTGGGGTAGTGTAGGATAGTATTAGCTTCTTTTTTTTATATATATTTTTTTATTAATATAATATAATATAGAAAAAAAACATTTAGTATTAGTGGATCCCATATGTTCTATTGTTGATGAACAATGTTTCTATTGTTGGTGTCAGGTTATGACGGTTCTACTGTAGAGACGGCTTCACTGTTTATCTTTTTCTTTTAATTTGTGGAGGAAATCTTCCGCTTTTTTCAAAGTATCTTCTGATATAGTCTGGACGATTCCTGTGATGATTTTCCCCTTGTATTATTACTTTTACCTCTGGCCTTGGTAATCCAAGAAGTGTCCATCCTGCACACATAACATTTTACTTTATTCGGATATATCGTAATAATCACTGTAATAATTATCACTATCGATATCCTTGGGGGTATCCTATTCATAATCATATATAGAGAAATCTTCCGCTTTTTTCAAAGTATCTTTTGATATAGTCTGGACGATCCCTGTGATGATCTTCCCCTTGTATTATTACTTTTACCTCTGGCCTTGGTAATCCAAAGAGGGTCCATCCTGCACACATAACATTTTACTTTATTCGGATATATCGTAATAATCAATGTAATAATTATCACTTTCGATATCCTTGGGGGTATCCTACTCATAATCATATATAGAGAAATCTTCTCTAATAATATCATTAATAATTTTACATATTATAAATTCCTGCAAGTGTCCACTGTGGCATATGGTCCTGTATATTTTAATACTCAACCTAATTTGTCATTATCTTTAACTGATGTTAATATTCGTGATGCTTTAACATTAAATGTTAAAACGCATGGTTATAATTATGCACCTGGATCTGAATTAATATGTTTATCATATAGAATTTATTTTAAATTGCTATCTACGTGACAGGCCCCTTGCTCGGATAGCAGGATAGATCCTTCCATACAATCAATAAACTATATAAATTTGTATATATTTCTATTCGGATTTATAATATATTATAATATAATATAATATAATATAATATAATAAAATAAAATGATAAGACTATTATTTAAATATTTTTAAACTAACAAGAATTAAGTATCTAATAATAAATTATAATTAAGAAATGCTAGTTTATTTATTAAAACTTAAATAAAAAAGAAACATTTTTTTATAAATTTCTTTCTTTAAAATTAATCTTACATTAAAAGTGTGACTCTATTTTTTTGTCATTTTCAAATATTTTTTAAAATAAGTTTACTAAAGTAAGATACATCCATACATATTTAATTTAAATTTTTAAAAAAATATTTTAAGTACTTAAAAATGATATAAAACTTTAAATTCGGTCAAAATTTATGTGTCTACATCTTTGACAAAAGATAAATGTAATATTAGTTATAAATACCTATAAAAATAAATTAATAATCTATAATAATAATAAATAAATAAAATAACAAAAAAATCAATCAAGAAATTATATATACCTTGACGATTTGGTGAAACCTCTTCATATATTTTGATTTTACATCATACTTGTTTATTTTTCAAATATTTATTTCGCATTTATGAAATTATTTGTATACATCATCTCTTTAAAATTGCAAATTCGTTATTTACATATGAAACAAAAATTAAATATAATATTAATTGTGAATAACAAATAACAATAACAAAACAATAATAACAAATAATGATAATAAAAAAAAATTATAATAAGATATAATAATAACAAATAATAATAACTAAAAATAATAATAAATAATAATAACAAACAATAACAATAATAATGTCAATACTAACAATAATGATGATGATAATAATAATAATAATAATAATATTAATACAATAACAAATAATACTAACAAATAATAATAACAATAATAATAATAATAATAATAATAATAATGATGCTAATAATAAAAATAACAATAATAACAATATATATAATACTAATACTAATAATAATAATAACAACAAATAATAATAACAATAATAATAAGAATAATAATAGTAACAATAACAACAACAACAACAACAACAATAATAAATAATAACACAAATAATAATAAAAATAATAATAACAATATTAATATTAACAACAACAACAACAACAGCAAATAGTCGAACCAAATAATAACAACAACAATAACAGTTGTAGTAATAATAATAATAATAATGGTAATAATAATAATAATAATAAATTATAAATAGCTGAACCAAATAATAATAAAAATAAAAAACTAAAATTAGTCGAACTAAATCAATATCAAATGGCATTATATTTATCACGAAAAAGTAAAACATCAATATTTTCAAAGTTCTTAATATGCTTGGTAGAACCTTGCTAAAGTTTTTGTTTTGGTTCAAAACATATGATTTTATGAGAAGACGTCTAAAATAATTTATTAAGAACAATTTATTTTCTACTGTCAAAAATAAAAAATATATATTTGAAAAGATAGGATTTCAATATCATATTATTCAATTCAATTATGAAATTAAAAAATTATTTTGTACAATTATAAATTTATATAAAATTAAATTTTTGATTTTACTATAAGAAATCTAATACTTGGTTCGATTCGATGAGTTAATCAATGTTTTTTTAAAACATTGACACTCACAACTATAGTACTTTATCATAATATATTCAAAATCTTAGTTGGTTAATTTCTTTTATTTGTGCTTTCATTTTTTTAGTTTATTTCAATTTTCACACGGATGAATAAGGTGAATAGAATCCATGAAATATTTCACATCTTTGCAAAGTCTAAGTCGATAGTATCTCTATATAATTGCTCTACGTACGTGGAATCACTACTAATTATGTATGTATTTTTAGACAGAAGCAAATCAATCGACTTAGTCTGTATTGTTTACCCACCACAAAATCGATAGGCACGCACAAAAATAAGCATCAAGGTTTGAGAAATTATTTTTTCTATACTCTTTATCGATGAAAGTGTATAAAATAAAAAATGAAATGTCTTAAGCCAACAAATATTTGTGATGTAGTGGTAGAATACTACCCACTCAGGGTACTTATAATCTAGATTGTATTTTTCAAATGATGCATTTTATAATTGCGTAATTTAGGAAAATTGATGAATTGAATATTTTTATTTTTACAAAATC